GCTACTACTGCTACTACTGCTGCTACTACTACTACTACTACTACTACTAGCTACTAGCTACTAGCTACTAGCTACTAGCTACTAGCTACTAGCTACTAGCTACTAGCTACTAGCTACTAGCTACTACTACTACTACTACTACTACTACTACTACTACGACTACTACTACTCCTACTACTACTACTACTACTACTACTACTGCTGCTGCTACTACTACTACCACCACCACTGCTACTCCTACTTCTACTGCTGAGGACCACTGACCACTTATCACTACCACTGCTTCTCCACGGCCCCCTCCTCCTCCTCCTCCTAGTCCTGGTCGTCCTTCTCGTACTTCTAGTCCCGCTCCTCTCCAGCGCGTACTCCTGCGATTACAACTCCCACTCCCATGACGCCTCAACACCACCACCACTGCCACCGCGACCGCGGCCGCGACCACGGCTGTACTGCTGCGAAGCTACCACTTCCACTGTCTGACTGATACTGCTGCTGGTGCTGCTGCTGCTACTGTCACTGCTGATACTCCTATTCATGTCATGCTAGGGCCAGGGTTATACACTTAGTTTCGTGAAGGATGAAGACTCTTGGAGACTGTTATGTAACTATGCGAGCAGCCACCTGAAGCCCCAGACGGACTCCTGATTGTCGTGAGGGTCTTCACGAAGTAGCCAACGTACCGTTCAGATCTTTTCAACACGTAACTCCAAAGAATGGGCTTCTTTTCTGATTGAGAAGTACCCTTGTTGCTTCAAACTTTACGCCGCCGCTTTAATCATCTCAGCCCCAAGCCCTGACTGAAGTAGACAAGACTCGGTGACTTGACATGAAAGTTTCGTTTCACGTCCGGGGTCTGTCTCGACCCTACCGTGCATTCTACCCGGGTTTTTAGGTTTCGGTCTTCAAGTTCAGGGTTTACAGACAAATCTTCAAGGTTTAAGGCTTGGGGCTTATGACTCCTGTACCCCCAAACCCTGAAAACACCCACCCTATCCTAAACCCTAAACTCCAACACCGAAGCCCAGCAGGCCTGACGTTGCCCTTGGCGACGGCCTGCTGGCATAATCTTGGACTGGGGGTTTAGGGTTTAGGGTTTACCCGGAGACCAACTCGTCGCAAACCCTGACGTGGGGTTTTAGGGTTTGGGCTGAAGGCGTAGATGCTTCATCTGCTTTCGAGGCTCCGTTCGGCTTATTGAGACTTGAGTAGATCTTGTAGGAACACGGAAGTTATATGCTTCCCAGGTCCCAGCCCAGCACTCTTGGAAACAGCCTTCTGCCCGTCATGAACAGGTATTTAAAACAGAATCGCGGTTACCAATGGTACCCGCTCTTAAAGCCGTGGATGGCGGCGTAAACAAGCAACCAACGCCTGCGCCTAAGTTGTCGTCGCGCCCCAATCTGGAGGCCCAAACAGAACAATAGCCTGCAGACCTACCAGCCTAAGTTCCAAGAACCCTTAGGTTTACCAATCTGACCCCGAAAGAGCCAATAGCCCCATGACGCAAAATCTTAAACCGCCGATATATTCCAAATCCCAAATCCTAAAACCTCCAGAGCCGGTTTAAGGTGCCTCCAGAAACGCGCCCTGATAGTTTCAGGGTTTGGGGCTATGGTGCTCCAGGAGAACTCCCCTAAGGGACAATAGGAAGGACCCCTAGAAGGGACCCCTAATCCTAATACCCTATATAACCCTAATATACCCCTTCTATAGCCTCGTAAAGCCCCTACATAACCCCAAGGGTCCCTTTCAGGGTCCCTCCTTTAGTCCCTTGAAGGGGGCCCTGGACCAGCCCAACATGCTACGAAGGATCTTCGCACAGTCGTGGAGCAAGTTTCCGATTCGGAGATGAAAGAAACAACCAAAGAATGAATAAGGACTCATCAACCTAGACCCTAAACCCTAAACCCTAAACCCTATATACCTTAAACCATGAACCCTAAACCCTAAGCCCTACAACCTTAAACCTTAAACCCTAAACCCCTTAACCCCATAAACCCCATAAGCCGCCACCTGACCTCGAGGCTAAAGCACAAGCCTCCGGGTGGCGGCAGGCGGCTGCTAAGCGCAAGCCAGAGTCCAGGTCTCCTGTAAATCTAGGGAATAGGGTTTAGGGTTTAGGGCTTGGGGTTTAGGGTTTAGGGCTTGGGGTTTAGGGTTTAGGGTTCAGGGTTCAGGGTTTAGGGTTCAGGGTTTAGGGAATAGAGGGCTTAGGGCTTAGGGTTCAGGGCAGGTCTCCTGTGAATCTAGGGAGAAAAGCTGGTAATAGAGGGCTTAGGGCTTAGGGCTTAGGGCATGGGGTTAAGGGTTTAGGGCCCCTAAAGTTTAGGGGCCCGGAGAATTACAAAGAATGGGGAACCTTGAGGGTTCCTTTAAAGCGCTCTTTCAATGGGTTTCTATACGGGTTCTTTCGAAGAGGGGCCTGAATAGTTAAAACGAGCTTTTGGGGTATGTTATATTGAGGGAAGAATACTGCTGGTAAATCTTCACCCTAAAAGCCCCCTAAAACCTAAACCCCAAACCCCTAAACCCGAAAACCCCTGCAAAACCACCGAAACCCTACACCCTAGCTGATTCTCTGTTGAGACTCTATTAAAAATGATCATCTTTAATCCTTAGTTGGGTTTTCTTATGTTGGGTTTTCTTATACCAAAAATGTAACAATTGCATCCAACAAGGACCCTTTTTAGGGCCGTCTAAAACCCTGTAAAACCCCTGTAAAACCCCCGAAACCCTACACCCTAGGGCCGTCTTTTCCAAGAGCATCTGGTGGTAGAATCAAAGCCTTTGTCCTAAACCCTAAACCCTAAACCCTAAACCCTATTCCTTCAGCTCCAGGTTCGCGAGTCATTCAGGCTGTTTCCCTCCTGTTATAGCCAGTAAAACCCCCGAAACCCTACACCCTAAAAGCCCTAAAACCCCAAAACCCTAAAAGCCCTAAAACCCCTAAACCCTAAAAGCCCTGAAACCCCTAAGCCCTACACCCTAGGGCCGTCTTTTCTCAGAGCGCCTGCGTTCGCGGCACGCTGCAGAAAACGGGTGGCTCGAGCCCATAGTCGCTGGCACTCCTCCGTGGGCTTGTAGGGCTTTTAAGGGCTTTTTTAGGGCTTTTAGGGCTTTTAGGGTTTAGGGGTTTTAGGGTTTAGGGGTTTTACGGCTTTTGGGGTTTAGGGTTTAGGGGTTTCGGATTCAGTTCGCGTTCTGGGTTGAGGGTAAATGCGTTGGGTTCTAATCAGGCTGTATAGGGCTTGACATGCGGGTGTATCTGCCGATTTCGGTGTGGATTGGGATCCTAGTCAGTCTGGCGACTCAATGCTAAAGAGTTGAATTTTAGAGGATGCAAGTGGTCTTATGAGACGATCAAAGTAACTCAAGGCCAACCACCCTGAACCCTAAGCCCTAAACCTGACTCAAAGCTCAACAGCGTGCGCGGTGCCTCAAGTCTTTGGCCTTAAACGGCTCCCTTTTTTCCTGAAGGTGTGAACCAGAATTCTGGCGTGAGAACTGTAGGGGCCTTAGAATAGGGCTTTGAGGGTTCCTGGTTGAAGTTCTGGTATAATGTACCCCCAAATCCTGCTCTGATCATCAAAGCCCCTGTATTAGTGCTAGAAATGCTCGCGCTTTGCGAGAGCTTCTGCAAAGAAGGCCTTCGTCAACCCTGAAAGTACAAGGCATAGGCTGGAAGATGCAGTTGGCTCACCACTCATGACAACTAATACAGGGGCCTTGATGAATAACGTAGAATAGGGTTTATACCAAGTTTAGAAAAGTTCTTGTCTATATTTCAGAGAAAAGAAAAGTTGAACACGGTGCGTCGATTACTCACGGTACTTAAAGGAACCGCTGCTAAACGTTGAGCTGGGGGCCTTAACAAGTGCAATGGGGTTTCGGGGGCATTGCATATTATAGATCTGGGATACTCTTACTACTTAACACCCTATAGCTTAGACTTATTCACAGCGCTCTATCTGCAGACCAAGAAGCCGACAAGGAAGAAGGGGAGTCGATCAAGCAGTACCATCTTTCCAAGAGCTTGCTGCCCACTTCCAGCTGAGCTTGCAGATTGCCCTTCCTCAGGATTATGATCTCCAAATGCGGAGCACAGGTCCAAAGCATTAGGCTGTACAAGTCCAAAACTGTGAACAAAGCAAGAAGACTCTCAACCCACCAAATCCCAAGCCTTTCACCCGACGCCTGGAGCCTGAACCTCGAAGATAGACGCGAAAGCCATACGAGGTCAGTAGCCGGGGCTCTCTGCCGCCAGGCGTAGACAGAGATCTCGGCCCTTTAAGTCCAGCCCGGTCATAGCCAAGGGCAGCTGATGCAAGAGCACCAGTGACTGCCAGAAGCACTCAGGAGCTTGAGGCTTCTAAGGTTTAGGGTTTAGGGTTTCTAGGGTTTCTAGGGCTCAATGTAGGGGCCTTAAGGCATTGGGGTTCTTATACCATAACTACAGCAGGGAACCCGGAGGAATAATAGCACATACTCCATACTCATGATTCCGATGCCCCTATTTAAAGGGCTTTTGAAGGAGTTGGGTTCAGCGTAGAGGGCCTCTGGACTGTAGCTTTTGAACTGTCCTTCTTGTCCTCTCTGGGTTTAGGATGCGGAGTTGTGGGTTGAAGAGCCTGGGGCTCAGTCCCCTAAACCCTAAACCCTAAACCGGTTTGGGAGTTAAGGTATACTGTATGAGGCATAAGGCTTAGGATTATGGAGAGACGGGTCGGGTTAGCATTCATCCGCCGTTTTAGCGCCTTGAAATAAGATCTGCACAGGACCCGTAAGCCCTAAACCCTCGGCTGCGGCTTGGACTTCAGACTTGGGGTTTCAGGGCTTAGGATATTTTAGGTCGAGGACGTAGAATAAGGTATGGAGGGGGGTATACGAAAGTGTAACCTTGCTTTTTAGACGCAAACCGAACCGGACATCAAAATAGTGAAGACACGCATGATGCTGATCATGCTAGTCCAGCTGATCAGAAAAGAATCTAAGAACGTCTTTTCGAGAAAGGTTGCATTGGGTTTAGGGTTGTTACCCCTCTTAGTCAACCGGCACTGTAGCTTCTTATTACTAGTTCCTCATTCGGCTTTAGGATTGGTTGAAGCAAGTGGACTTTCGAAACCTTTCGTGAGCTCAAACCCAACGTTAGGGCTAAGAGTAATTCAGATCATTAGGGTGAGTAGGGCGGTGGGTTTAAGGATTATGGATTTCGGCGTTAAGGGTTTAGGGTCGCGCAGCTAGATCAAGGAGTTGATGTGAGGCACCTGTGTAAAGCCCGATTGGGCGGGTTTAGGCTTCAGGGTCGTTTGGGCCCATGCGGCCACCATATAGTTGTCACTGGCAGAACTACCAGACTTGGAAGTTATGCATGCAACGAACACGCTCTTGATGTCTACCCCACGCGCCACACTCAAGGCAGCAGCTCCTACACCTGAGAAGTCCTGACAAGGGATCCGGAAAGAACCCCAAATAGAAGGATCCGTTTATGCAAGAACTCCCGGAGACTCGGACCAAGAAGCTTAACAACCCCAACAAACTCGAAGCCTCTAAGGAATGATCGGAGCCTGCGTATCATGCAGATTTGCTGCGCGAACGAGGAGGCGAAGTCCTGCTCGACTCTCAGGTAGTCCGCAGGGACGCGCCCAACAAACATGCGAAATCCTAGGACACTTGTTACATAAGGAGCTTCAACCAGTGAACCATGCTTCAGCAGGACCTAAGGACGGATGGCCGATAGAGTTTGCAAACAGAAAATGATGGTTGGATAGCAAGGCCTGCCAAGCTCTAGCAACCGCAGGCCAGCCTTAGTAGTTTGCTTTGTTCATGAGGATTGCATAGGCCTGCTATGGTAGCAATCATCGTAAGAATAGGTAAATAACCAGACTAATCATAATAAACATAAGAATAATAGAAACACTAGCAACAATCGAGAGAGTCGCAAAAACAGTCATAACAGCGATGATAGCAGTAATGGTAGTAATAACCATACTTAACAACCACATTACAAACCTTGCAAGGCTCTGTCGACCTCAGCCGACACTGTTGTCTTACACTCCGCTCAACACAGGTCGATCCTTGACTTCTTGTGCTTCTGCGATGCAGGGTTTAGGGTTCGGTACTCATCAGAGTTCTGGATATGATTGGTATCTTATGGTCTTAAGCTTGCTTGTCAAGTATCCTACGGGAAGTAAAGGTGGACATTTGGGATTCTACAGGCATTGTAGACACCCCAAAATAAGATCAAAGCTCACCGAGTCTGGCAAAGTATTGGGCCTCGCCGTCGTCGGCGTGGGTTCGAAGACTGGAGATGCTGCGCAGCCAAGTGCCTCAAGTCATCACGATGATTGACAGTGTGCAAACGATTTTGCTTGCTGGATGGCTTCTGGTAGACAGGCTGCTTTAAACCTCGCATCATAAAGTCGGCAGCTCATGTACCGCAAATCTTGCTTGCAAGACACTTCTAACGGCTCTTCCCACACGATCCATACCTAATGCGCAGTCTTACCCTTTATTGAAGTTTTCGCACAGCAGCACCTTCCGGACGAAACTGAACGTGTCTGTCTCGGAAATATGTGTCAAGTCGTGCACACAGCTTAGTTCAAATGCGTGAACGGGGAGACTCCCAACAAAATAATTACGTGGAATCAAACGTAAAATTGATGACTAAAGTGGGATCGAGACATTGTTCGATGCGTGTTGCCAACGAAGCATTACTTTCCGAACAACAACGCGCATGTCGGCTGGTCTTAAGCGGCGGTTTTGGCAAGTACTGCATCAAAGCTTTTCAAGCATACGCGTCGAACCATTGGAAACAATACGACCACTGAGCCCAAACTTGTTCAGCCCAGCGGAACTCGTTGCACAAGCAAGCCAGGTCTGACAGCCGCAATCCCCCCCTTTTCGAACAAAATGCAACCCGCGAAGCCGTCAAAGCCTGGGCACCGGGACGCGACCCCCTTGCCGCACTCGGATGCTGCCTTCGCCGGATGCCAAGCTCGTGCTTGTAGTCAAACTTAAGAACTACATGAACAAGAAGGACAAACACAGTAACCACAGTCGTCATCGCATCATAGTGCTCGTGCTGGCGGCTTTCAGCCGAAGCAGCAGCTGCAGCAGCAGCAGCACCACCACCAGAGAGCAGCAGTAGCACCATGTCGTAGTGATGTGGGCGATGACACTCCGACACAATGCGATAATGATAATAGAACTGGCAATACTGTCAGCAACAAGTACCCTTGGCAATGCTGTCGTCCTTCCGGCACCAGCATCAACATACTTTGTTATGCTGACTATGTACAGTAATGACTGCTCTTCTGTGTCCCAAAGAGAATATTCTAGGGGCCTTTCTATTGGAAGAGGGTTTGGGGGTATGTTGCAATAGTGATACGGAGCCCCGGGGATCAGCATTCAATCATTGATGCTTGAATCTTCTAGTGCTTGACCTGTAGGCCGGAGACTTCCAATCCGAAACGCAAGGCGATTTAGGGTTTAGGGTGTAGGGGCCCCGAAGCAACTGTAACAGCCTGAACACAGTTCTGTGAAGCATAGCACTGTTCTGTAAACTTAACCGAAAGGAAACCCTAGTACAAGCTGTGACATGTAAGCCATAGGTGTACGGTGCACGGCTCACCTCATGAAATCCCGTAAAGCCCTTGTAGAACCCTTCAGAATCCCCAACAGAGCCCTGCGACGTCCCGTACAAGTCTGAAACCATCAATCAACAACACTACACCAGAGATGCTGGAGACCTTCACTCATGACCCTAATATGGGGCCTTAGTAACTAGAATAGGGCTTTGGGGGTATACTATACTCTAGTTTGAATAAGGGACCCCCAAAATAGTATAGGTAATCATTAAGGCTCCTACATTGAAGACACCGTAAGCCGGGGTTTAGGCTGTGACCTGTAACATCCCCGCCCCCGTTGAGAACCTCTGTTCTAGAAAACTCTTTAACATCTCTTTAACGGTTTAGGGTTTAAGGGTTTTTATATCTGAACCTTGAAACCCTGAAGCAAGAACACATTCGATCAGCGCGCCCAAATCTTAAACCTTGAACCCCTTGGAACCCTTAACTGCCTCATCTCTACAATTACACCCTTAAACGATGTACCCTCACCCTGAATCCCAAACCCTAAATCCTCACCTCCCCCTCCGAGGCCCCCCCATTGCCCTGAACATTAAGCACTGACACCTATACTCATCCCTCAGGCCCTCAAAAGCCCTTAAGCCGACACCCTCGCCCCTAGACCCTCACCCCTAAAACCCTAAACCCAAACATCCCCCAAGCTTGCCTCGAACCAGCGCTGAGCCTCGCCCGGGTCATGGGCACCACCCAACCCCTGATCGGACATCACCTTTCTGCGGGTGGGGTACTGGTAGCACCAGTGATGGTGGTGGTGGTGGTGGTGGTGGTGGTGGTGGTCGGGGGAGTAGGAGTAGGAGCAGGAGTAGGAGTTGGAGTAGGATTGCCAGTAGCACACAAACAAGTAAGTAGATACTTATACTCTTCATATGTGAGTGTATACTTACGTTTGTGTATGAATATCATCATCATAGTAATAATCGTAGTAATCACATATACATAAAACTGTGAACGAGTGTGTGTGTGTGTGTGTATGTGTGTCAATATGATTCCGGTGGGTTAAAGCCAGTTACAATATGTTGTGCTAGGACTGCACTAAGCAGTCAAGCCACTGCTAGGTTCAAAGCTGCATCGGCTTGTCCGGCAGTCGCGGCTGCAAGATACCAAGAGCGTGCTTCTGCCAGCCTAGGTTGAGATGCCGGAGTGTTTGTTTCGGTTCGAGGGTTCAGGGTTTTTCAGAGGGGTAAGACCCTAAACCCTACACCCAATCGTGCTTGTTGGAAAACTTCAGAGTTCGGCTTCCGAAGCTTGCGACTGCTTGCCTCCTCAGAAGCTCGGAACTTCCACCTAAATCTTCGGCGGCAAGGCCCCCCCACAAGCCAACTCCCTAGGGTTTGGGGTTCATTCAGGGGTTTGGGTTTAGGGTGTAGGGTGTGGGCACGCAGACCCCCTGACAAGAGCCCGGTCACTTGCCGTCCATGTAGAGCAGGTTCGCGATGTTGTAGGCTGCATCGCCATCCCCTCCTGCTGCTGCCACGCTGTACCTTCGAAGGCTGAATCTACACTTGGAAGCTCGTGGCGTGGAAGTTGGGTTGAGGGTTTAAGCGTCGTATTGGGACCAGGGGCCAATATAGAACGATTCGTATTCAGCTTCAGTTTTGGGCGAAATTGTGGTGAAGTCTGCATAGCATCTTTGCACCAAGGGAACGTCAACATGCAAGCAGAGAGCGAACTCTCCAGGCTGGATGACTGCTCGAATCATGAGTCAGGAAACTGCAGAACCAACTGCAAACTGCCCCAAGATGCAACCCTGAGCCGTGAACACTAAAGCCAGCAAACGACATATCAGCAATACCAGAGTTCCTACAACGATCTCATGTCTCAAGCAAGTATCCATACACCCTCAACCCAAAAAGCAATTATCACAAACCCTACACCTTGCACCACGTAACGCCACCAGGGAGCCAGGGTGTCGTACCCAGCCGACAGGAATCCAACGAGTCCTCCGCCAGAGTCCCAACTCCCTACACTACTGTAGGAGCCTTCATAACAGGTAAAGAGGGTTGTCGGGAATATTTAGAGGGAACTCGAATGACTAGCATCATCAACTTATCTATGATTGACACCTAAATTACCGAAGCCCTAAGCCCTAAACGAGTTTCACCCTGCGAATTGCTTGGGTTCTGCTGGCTCCAGGAGCCCCAACCCCTCAGCCCTAAACCGTTGTAAACTCTGAAGTTCTTGAACCTCACTTGTGAAGCATCCCAGGGGACATAAAGGTTAACCTGTGCGGGGGATTAATGATACGGGGTTCTAATAGCCCAAGAAGGTTTAAAGGCTACGAACTCTACTACTATAGGAAGGAACCCAAGAAGATCGCTCCTTGAACCAGAAGATGAGGCTGTACCGTTCGCCGTGCATCACCTGCCGACAGGGTACTTAAAGATCTGCAGGGCTTGGACAGTAGTAGTAGTAGTAGTA